GTGTACACTCTATTTAACCTGACGCCTAACCGCTACAGTATGCGCTGCGACTCGTCCTTTGCCGCGTCTGCGTCTCTTCCTTCGCCGCGCGACGAGGCCTTTTGGAGTACACCCCGTTCCTTTACACCTGTTTTATCCCAAGGCTTGCCTTTAAGCGGCATAATCGATACCTGTTAACTGAACTGTTCAGTTGAAAACGTGGAGAAATTTAAGGTTTCGATTTTCCAGTGTACCACTGAAAGCAGAAAAACGGTGTGTGGGGTCTCAAAAGTGTAGATCGGCGCTATGAAATTTCTGGTTCGATGCCCGCCCAAGCTTCGAAATCAATATTTAATTCAGCATTCTTGTGATCTTTTAGACTGTAAACATTTCGTTTTTACGACGACTCAAAGTTGCATAAAAACTCACATATCGAGCTCCGAGAGTAGCGATAGCATGAGATGTCGGCACGACGGAAATCAGCGCGCCGATGGCCACAGCGCTGAATAGCCATGTCCGCTCATTCTTACTGTAGCCGTGGTATTCAGTCTGAAAGTTGGAGAATTCCCTCGAGAAAAAAAAACGCAAATCAATCAGTGTTTGGTTGGGAAATCACTGCGGCTAAGTTGTTTTTGGGACCTTGACCGAAACAGCAGCATTCGCACTTCTCCACTTGACGAGGTGCGCTTTTCATTTGGTCATGAAATAGAAATGGTCTTACGATACGGAAAGATCGTGCCATATAAAGTGCGCGGAGGTCAAGGGTGTCAAACTTGGAGTAATTCAGTTGCTTCATTGAAATTGCCTACATCACAAGGACAGAGGGATGAAGCATTTGCCATTGGTTATGATCATGATTTATTATCGGTGATTAATATTAACAATAAATCAATCCCTTTTGGGATGCGCAACGCATTCCACTTCCATTTGTACATTCGTCGTAGCGATTGAATGCGATTTGATCGCAAGTCAGTGTTTTTATCCTCCCAGACAAGTCTGGTACCAATTAACCGACCCCGGAGGGATGGAAGGCTTGGTTGGCCCGGGCGACTCACGACCCAGGATTTGATCCCCGGACCGCTCGCGTGGTAAGCGTGCCACTTGCCACTACACCACTTCCGCCCTCCGTCTTATACCATGTATTATACAGCCAAAAATATGTACCAGCTTGAAATCATAACCC